TCCCACAGCCCCCTTGAAACACCTCATAAGAAGTTGTACAATGTCCCCAAAAGCTTTTCCCCTGCAGCCCCTGTGCGCCCCATGCCCCTGCCAGTCTGCAGAGTCTGCTGGGGAGGGGGTGGCCCCACTGGCTCCTTGGTGGGCTTCACCCAGGAGCCATGAGCTGGGCGCTCTCCTCCCTTGGTTGCGGGAGCAGGTGGGTCCAGGGCTTTAACTCTGTGTGCAGTGATGATGGTATTGGGGCTTCCAAAAGCTTTTCCCCTGCAGCCCCTGTGCGCCCCATGCCCCTGCCAGTCTGCAGAGTCTGCTGGGGAGGGGGTGGCCCCACTGGCTCCTTGGTGGGCTTCACCCAGGAGCCATGAGCTGGGCGCTCTCCTCCCTTGGTTGCGGGAGCAGGTGGGTCCAGGGCTTTAACTCTGTGTGCAGTGATGATGGTATTGGGGCTTCTTCCCCGGCATTGTTCCACTGATTCTCGTGGGGTCTTTTTGTAAAAGTGGAGGGGGGGAGAAATGTGTTTCTTGTCTGAAGCTATTTCCTGAAGCGTTTGTTTTCCAGGGTTTTACCCTGCAGAACACTTACCTGCTTTTGTGATGTCTGATCTTGTACAGCAGCTGGAATACACTTTGTCCGAGTTGCTTCAAGGGCTCTGAAAATACAGATAGGAAAAGGACGGCTTAGCTCTGGTAAGGTAGTTGGCTGTAGGGAGGCTGCCAGCAGTGTTTGCGTGTGGTCCTTGCAGATGAAGGATGCTTTCAGATGGGAGCCATAAGGGTTAAAGTGTTACAAGTGCAGGTGAGCTGCTCTTTCTCACTAAGATGATGACTGTGTACTTTGCAGCATTATGTTTTTCTCTTAAGCCAGAACGGTTAAAAAAGAAGGGAGGCAAGAGCTCCATTTTATGGGATATGACTACCATTGCCCCATTTGCAGTAGCCTCCAAAACCAAACTGCTCCTCTATGGATATTCCCAGGAAAATGAATTTATGCTTAGCGTGCATGAATCATAAACTTGGTGCTTGCTGCAGCCACACAGAAATACAAAATAATTGGCTAGTTATGTGTTTTGCCATAGATATTTTGTTGTAATATCTATCTATTGGCAGTTAGTCTGACTGGACCAGTTTTGGAGAAGAAGGCTACAGAAGTTCTGATTTTAGAGGTACTGTATGTGAAATGCTTAGCATGAGCCTTAATTTCAAGTTATGTCTGGGGCTTGTGGCACACTGCGTTGCAAAAATCTTAAACCTTGCTTGCATACCGCGGTGTATTTTTAAAATGCGTTGTTTTTTTTTTTCTTTAATTTTCCCTGAAAAATACTGCATCCAGTTTTGGACATTCCAGTAAGAAAAATACATCACTAAAATGGGTTCAGTTCAGTGAGGGCCATTGAAATGGTGGAGGCTTGAGCATTTGCCCTGTGAGGATAGGCTGGGGGCTGGCACGGTGACTTTACAGAAGCCCCCAGTGCTTATGGGAAGATCATCAAGGAGGTGGAGCAGGGCAGTTTTCCCCATGAGGACAGTCAGGCAGAAGCACAGGTTGCCCTGGGAGGCTGTCCAATCTCCAGCCTTGAACGATTTCAAGACTGAACTGGAAGAAGCCCTAAGGAGCCTGATTGACCTCAGAGCTGACCTGCTGTGAGCAGGAGGTTGGAGCAGAGGCCTCTTTAAGGTGTCTTTCAACCTGAATTGTTCTATGATTTCATGATGGTCTGAGCTTTCAATTGTGCTATTGGTCTGCATAATTAAAGTGTACTAAACAGTTTATATTAGAAGAGCAGTTTGGTTTAAGTCAAGCTAGTATAGATTGCCTGACCTGCTAACCTGGATCAGGTGGTACTAAACTACTACGTATTTATGTTAGCAGCAACTTAAAGAATGCAGTTTAGTTTCCCTGATATGCTTAGATTGTAAGCACTGAGTAATCTTACTTTGTTTCAGATAAATGCAAGTGAAATTCAAAGATTTTCAGATTTTCCATTGTCAAAGAAAACCATAAAAGGTAAGGACAAAAGTTTTTGTTGGAAAGTATTTTAAGTAAAAATGAATGTATTGTTTATCTGCTTCTGAAAAATTGTTTGCTTTAAACTAAGTTCTAGATAAGTATTGCCATGTACAGTGTTTGCTGGGCAGACAAATACAGCTCTGGGCAAGATAAAAATAATTTTTTTTTCCTTTCACTCCCTCACCCTCTCTTCTCTTCCCTCTCTGCCAATACTAGGATTACAGGAAGCTCAGTATCGTGTGGTAACAGAGATACAGAGGCAAACCATAGGTTTGGCTTTACAAGGTAAAGATGTACTTGGAGCTGCAAAGACTGGATCAGGCAAAACCTTGGCTTTTATTGTTCCAGTAAGTAACTTGCATCCTTCTATTTGTACTTAAACCAAGTTATTCAGGAAGTATTTGATGTCAAACAGCTTAGATTAATAGATCCTGGGGGAAGGGTTATAATTCAACTGATCTTGATGTTCCAACAAGGCCAAGATACTAATTAAATGAAGCTGCTTGAGGTTCTGGAAGAGTTATACTCTTGATCCTAGGCATAGTCTGACACTTAGAAATTCCATTTTGATCCTTACGTTAGTAGACTCCAAGTCATTTAGCAAGTGCTTTGTTTTTCTCTCAGGAATCTCTTTTCCTGGTGCAACTCTAGTTGTCTGATTCTTTTAAAATTTGAAAACTAAGTGTATGGAGTAGAATGGTGAAATTTCTTCAGTTCCTTAGACTTTTTTTAGATGAGTGGTTTTCACCCCTTTAAAATTCCAGGACTTAGACTTTTTAAAGCAAACTTGAGCTTAATGATTGTGGACTTCCATTTCGTTGTTGTCTTTTTCGATTTCTTAGAAATCACTTCCAGGTGCAAGGAGGAAAACAGGATGAAAACCCCTATCATGGATAATGCATATTTGACTGGTTTACTCAAGCCATCATGCTCTGCTTTTAATTTCTTCAAGTTGAAAGTATAACTGAGAAGTTTGCTTGCTTAAAGTGCACATACATATAAGTGGATACAAACCCCATCCTGTTATGATTAGATAAAGGGAAAAAGAAACGTTGTTTTGATTATGGGTGTTTTTTTTTTTGGTTTAAACATTATTTGCATTTTTGTGAGCATGAATTTCTTTGAAGCCTATTCTGTCAGTAACTGGGAACAGTAGTTTTGAATACCCTCTCTAGTTGAGAAGATTTATGCTTTATGCTGCTTTTTTAAAAAAAATTATTTTTTATTAGTGAAGAATATAAAAATGTGTGTGGCTTCAAAAGATAGTCTTGTGAACTTGAGAAACAAAAGCGAGATTGCTCAGTCTAGGAGTAGAATCTTTGTGTTAGGATTAGCTGACTAAGTGTTTCTGCAGGGTGAATTCATAAGAAGAGGACTATAATCCTGGTCTGAGGTGTATGGCAACTTTAGTTGGAATGCTCCATATACTATATATATGTGTGTGGACAGTACTACTTCAAGTCTATGATGAGAATTAAAGCTGCAATAAGTGACTTTCTTCTAGTTGCTTGTTCTGTTTCTGGTTCCCACAAAACCTTATGAGCAGGGAAGTTTCTTATGTTTTTCTACATCTGTTTTCTATTCTTGTATAAATGATTAAGGCTTAATTTCCAGAATTTAGCAGAGTAGGATTAATTATGCAGTAAAATGTTTATGATTTACTACCCCTTACTGTCTGTCATTGATTGGTGTGGGGAACTTTGCTTCATCAAGTGTCATTGACATCAGTTTGAACTGATATATAATCAAACTACGTGAAATGTATACTGATGTTTCTTCAAGTCATTATTTTAATTAGTATGGCTGTATCTTTTGTTTCCTGGTACTCCTTTGTTACAAATTTTTTGTTACATATTTTCCTTCTGAGATATATATAATGAGAATACGGTAATTTTTTTCAGGCTTTGGAACTCCTGTATCGCCTTCAGTGGACCTCGGCTGATGGACTGGGCGTTTTGATAATATCACCTACCCGGGAACTGGCGTATCAAACCTTTAAGGTTCTGCGTAAAGTGGGAAAGAATCATGAGTTCTCAGCTGGCCTTATCATTGGAGGAAAGGTGTGTCCTGTCTCAGAGTGTGCTGTATGGAAGCATAAATGAGTGCTATATTAAGTGCTAGTTTAGGAAGGAAACCCTGGAAATGAAAAGTCGGGGAAGAGCTTAGTTAATGGGAACTTATCAATGACACGCGTTTTCCTGTCGTGTACTCTGTGTCTTTTGAAGCTTTTACATGTTTACAGTCTTTGCTGTCCATGGATGGACATTCCTGCCAAGCCTTCCAGGACTATCCTGTTAATTTAGATTATTCTGAAATGATTTTTGCTCAAGCCACAAGTGTGAGCATGCTGAAGAAATTGTGATAGCTCCATAGAAAGAGGAAACACTGATCCTTGACTATACTTTCTAAAAACTCCCAATAGGTTAAGGTGGCCTGACCATCATACTGAGCTTCTAGTGTGAACAACTAGAGCTAAGCTGCTTTAACCCCTTTTCAGGATGTGAAAGAAGAGTCTGAAAGAATCCACCATATAAATATGCTCATTTGCACTCCAGGACGGCTTCTACAGCACATGGATGAAACTTCCTATTTCTATGCATCTGATCTGCAAATGTTGAGTAAGTTTTTTGAGTACTTGAAAGTACTCAGAAGTATTTTGTACCAGTTCATAGTTGTGTGGAGCACTTCCTTGGGTAGAAAGTTTATCCGAGTCATGGTATGTAGATGAAATGGCATTTAAGTTCACACTTGTACAAATTAAAAAAGAAAACAGCGTAACCCCTTTCTTGCGTGTACTTTCTGTTGAACAGTTGCTGAGCATGCCTTCCTTAGAATGATAAGAAGTAGGTGAGTCACTAAGGAACCCAAATGTAGAGTCCTATATAATCCTTTAGATCTGTCTTGGCTAACACTGGCCTTTCCTTTCTGGCTATGGCTCCTGTGCTTTTCCTGACATGATCATTAACTATGTGGAATAAATATCCATTGCAGTGTGTGTATTTTGGGCCAGTTCTAAAAACCACTTTATTTGAATTTTAACACACATCACTGCTCCTTTCATTGTTTTGTTAGCATTGTTAACATTGCTTCTTTTCATCCTTCCAACCTCAATAAAAATTTCAGTCTAATGAAAAGGTTTGCCTGCCACTGAGAACTGCATAATCTTTACCATAGCTTGAGGAACTTAGAAGCAATTAAGGTAATGAAGCTGATAAAATGTGAAATTGTGCCCACTACACTTAGTACAATTCATGGCAGTTAGACAAGAATTGCATTAAATGTCAGCCCTTTTCTTAAAGCTTTGTCTCTGCGCTAGCTCTGTTTATACCCTGTGTTTCAATTATAAATTTGGCTTAGGTACAGGAGAGTCTGTTTTGCTCTGTCATGAGTAGTGCAGCACTGTTTTGTATTCCATGCTTCTGTTTCAGTAATAGGACAGGGAGTTTGTAATTTGCAGTTTGTCTGCAAGCTTCTGAAGTGTTTACTTGAAATGCTGGTCTTATATGCTTCAGCATGTGAAACTGAGGGGCTGTAGTGCATAGATGATGGGAAATGCTATGACTTCGTTGTGTTTTCTTAAAAACGTTTTATGGAGTACCTGTATAGCTAGGGAGAGTCCTGTTATATGCAGTAATTAACTTAATCTCTGCTTTTTAAGTAGGCATGTATTTTTGTACTGTATGGATTTGATGTATGATTTTTTTTTTTAACATAAGTGAAGCTAAACCCAGGTTTTTCTCAAACTATCTCTCAATTCAGTTCTTGATGAAGCTGATAGAATTCTAGACATGGGGTTTGCTGATACAATGAATGCAATCATAGAAAATCTACCTAAGAAACGCCAGACCTTGCTTTTTTCTGCAACACAAACAAAATCAGTGAAGGATCTTGCACGGCTGAGTCTGAAAGATCCGGAATATGTTTGGGTTCATGAGAAAGCCAAATTCAGGTATGTTGGGATAATTTTTTTTTTTTCTGAGGGGGTGAAACATATGATGATCCTACCTAATTGCTTTTCTGACTGTCAGTTCCCTGAATGAGAAGTTATATCATGCATCCTCCTTTCTGCAATGTCTGATCCTATTGTGTGCCTTCCTGAAAGCAAGGAATTTCCAGATGAGAGGGTACTAGTTCCGAATGATTCATTACAGGGAGGCTGACCCTACACTTTGTTTGTGGCTCCTCAGGCAGCTTTGCAGACTAGAAATTTTCTTCCTCAGGACCAAGGCTCAAAGTCGGTTATAGTCTGGATGGAGTAGTGTCCTGGCTGTATTACTTGCTTCTGATTACTGCTTTTGTGTTGTTTGGCTTCCTTGCGTCCTGTGAATGCGTACTGTGCAGAACCACCAGATGGGTTGCACAAATAAATTCTTCTGTGCCATTGATAAATGTGGCTTCCTAAGAAAATGCTACTCTGTTAGGAAAGTGCAGAATGACAGTCTCGTTTCTGTATTCAATATTAGGTGCCCAAAGGAAAGCATGTGGCATTAGTCCATGTGCATTAAGTCTTGTGGCTTCCTGATGTGCTGGGATTACTGTGCACGTGAAGTAAATTTGTCATGCCATACAGTTTGTATCAGAATGGAAGGACCTTGCGAGCAGTGCAGTATGTGGTCTGACAAGCTCAAAAAAAGTAGTGTGTCATTAAATGAAAAAAAAAAATGCTTGTTGTTTTCTGGCATGTTTTTTTCTTTCGAAATCTAAGTGAAGAACATTAATATTTTGCATTTCTGTGGGTTGTATCATCTAAGTGTCAAATTGCATATGAATGTGTATGTTTTTTGCTGCTTTTCTATGAAGTATGCGTATATTTCCATATATAAGATGGAGGAGGAAGGTGAAGCACAGTGCTAAAATGGCTTTCCCAAGAGCAAACAAGAAATCATCAGCAAAATGAACAGCAGAACCAGGCTGAATCCTGAGGCAGTTTTAACTATTTGATTTAATTATCTATGTATTGTACTGCAAATAACTTTGTTTTATCAGTAGTACTATCAGAGGCATCTTAAATAGGCAGGACTGCCTGAAAAAATTGTGTAGTTAATAGCCTCTCAGCAGAAGAGTATGTACAAGCCTAGTATATAGTCTTCATTTTGAGGACTGGCTATACATCTGTTTCACTGATCTCACATTTTTTTGTGAACTCTATTTTAAATTACATTTAATTTAAAAAAAATATTTGGGAGAGTGCAATTAGATAATAAACTGAATTTTGAAAAGGCTTCATTTGTATTCAAAGTGTTCATTTGTAGAATTGGCTACCTTAGTATACAATTGGTTATTGCCTCATGAAATTACTTTCCTCTGAAGGACTTACAAAGCAAAAGGTGCTCTGGCATAATTCAAATTGACTAGCAGAACTGGAGCAGTGTCTTGTAATTTCATCCTCCCAGTTGGCATCTTTAATAAAATAATTTTGAATGCTCTTCATCTGTTTAGGGAGAAGCAGAGGAACTGTGAGAGATGAGCAATTAGATGTATTTCAAGGGCAAATATGTCAAATAATTTTTTTCTTTATTTTACTTTGTAAAGAATGAAAAAGTGAGTTAAGATGACTATTTAGAGCTTTACAAAGTCACTTTGCCTGTCAGGGTGTAATCTGTAGAAGTGCATCGGTGCTTTTTTTTTCTGTGTGATTAGGCTGTGCTTTGACATAAACTTAAGCACAAATGATGCTTTAATAGGACTAATAGACAAAATTGTATCTTAAGGCAATTTGAATGTCGCTGCTTAGACATGGAAAGAGTTTGGCTCGCTAGTAGCAGATGAATTAGAAGTAGTGTCAGAAGTTATCCCTTCTTCTCCACTGGCTTTTAGTAAGGAAATTGATTCATCTTTCAAGAGTAGCTTTCTAGTGGAGCTGCTAAGGCTTGTTCCTCAAAGTGGGAGAACTTTCCAGTCTGACTTTTTTTTTTTTCCCTCTTCTTTTTTTTTTCCTTCTCCTTTTTCTGGGTATTTGTCAGACACTCTTGACTTAAAGGACAGGCAGGTCTGTCGTTATTGTATGCCTGTGTATCCCGTTTCTTCCCTTTTTTTCTTTCTTGTTTTAACGTTATGGGAACTAATGGTATCTAAATGTACTTTTTTGGTGGGTTTTTTTTTTTAGTACCCCGGCAACTTTGGATCAGAACTATGTTGTTTGTGAGCTTCATCAAAAAGTAAACATGTTATACTCTTTCTTGAGAAGTCACTTGAAAAAGAAGACCATTGTGTTTTTTGCAAGCTGTAAAGAGGTATGGCTATTCCCCACCTTCACCTGTAGCATTTTAAAACTATTAAAATTAAGATATTTATGTAAATGTCAAGGTATCAAAGAGGTGACATTCTGGACTAGTTTGCAACAGGAGATCAGGGGAAGAACCAAACATCACCTTCTCTTGTGGGAAAGTCATGCAGAGCCTGGCTGCTGGGAAGCTAAGTGATCCAGGCTTGATGCAGGAAGGTTCTGGAGACCTCAGTGTACTCAGCCATTTTTATGCTCTGCTGTTAAAATGAATGCTAAAAGTTTTGTCACTAAGGGCCAGCTATTTCAGTTTTGTCTCATGACACATTTCACAGTTGGCTTACAGAGTATTTTAATAGTTGTACCTACTTTCTTTACAAGCTTTTAAATCTGCATGTGTAAGAAATTATAATAATGAAATGGTGCAGGGAAAGTGTTCTTTTTTTAATGATTATATAGGAAGTAATCCTTCAAATATCTACTTGAGTAAAATGACTTGGGACTGTTCTGTTGAAGTTATTTGTATGTGTTTATATGGCATAGGTATTTATTCCTGCATGTATCAAATACTTTACAACATAAGATGGTGTAGTAAATATTCATTTCAGTTCTTCCACTTGTACAAGAGGTTACAATATTTTTGTTGTTCTGCAGTTGGCTGATGAGTACAGTGAGGTGGTAGGCTTAGTTCTACAGAAATTCTCTGAGCTGCAGCTGTTACTGCAATATGCACAGTTTCTGTAACTATTTTCTTAAAAAAAAATTAGGTAGCTGCCTGCTATAAAATAATGCTGCATCAAGGTACTGTATGTAAGAGTAAACGTACTACTTTTATAAGAGAAGCTTGAAGTAGTAAACCAAGACTGTGTAGGCTGTTTTGAGTGCAAGCATAAGACACTACACCCCTCCAGTATTGTCTAAAAGCAGTGCTTCTGATGGAGTTTTAGTACTTCAGTCCCTTGCATACAGCCTAACTAGTCAAGTCCCAAGTCTTGTGATTACCTACCCTGGTTCCTTTTAGGAAGTGCTGTCAAAAGGCAAACCAATCTTGTGCCACAGTTAATTTCCTGTTTTAGTACCTGCCATGTGACAAAGTCTCAAAGTAGCATCTCTTGTCTTCGATGTGGAAAAAAGGGTATTTTATTTGATGTGCTGAGTGACTTGCTGCATACTGGATATGATCTTAACAAGTTTAACGTTGCATGGCAATGTTTTTTTCCCCTGTATTGTTGGGTAGGTCCAGTATCTCTTCAGAGTGTTCTGTAAGCTTCAGCCTGGTCTTCCTGTACTGGCACTCCATGGCAAGCAGCATCAGATGAAGAGAATGGAAGTCTACACTTGTTTTGTTCGGAAAAAGGCAGCAGTACTTTTTGCTACAGATATTGCAGCTCGTGGCCTGGGTATGTACCCACAGGAGCAATAGTTGTTCACAAAGTGATGATCTAACCCCATTGAGACTTTGTCAGACCTCATGTTCTGAAGACCAGCCTGATTTGTAAGAAATGAAGCTGTAGTTTGCTTAGGAGCTCATTAGGGTATCTCAGAAGAGATAGGCTTCTTGGAATTCTGCCATTTCTTTACTGAAGAAGCCCACTTCATTTGTGCTTATTTTAATTTTTGTCCTAGACTTAGGTTGTCACTAGTTTTGTGATGGTGTTTGTTAGTAAAATAATCAGTGGAAGCTGTGTTTTATTTATTTGGGTTTTTAAGTCTGTAGACAATCTAGTTTTTCCAGCCATGATCTGTGACAAACATCTGGAACAAGAAAAAATGGAAATAGTGATGTATTTGTTTACTACATCACTTAAGGCAAGTTTTCAGCAGTTTTAAGTATTTCTGATGTGCCTGTGTATTGTGGGTTATTCCAAAGGGTATGAAAAATTACTAACCTACTGGTATGTGGAAATGAAAACATGGAGAAATTTTAATGTCTGAACTACAAAGGGCATTATAGGGCTGTATTCTTAAGGAGGCAAAAAAATAGATGAGGGAAAAAGCAAGAATATTTATAGGACCTGTTTTGGGTTGAGTTTCTTTCTTTGTGTCATTACCTGCTGAATTATGATTTACTACTTTATGTTTTCTGTGGATACTTTGGACTTTTTATTTTTTATAGTACTTGGGGCATTTCAGTATGCCACAAGACTTTTCAGGAGTCTAATGGTTCTTTCAGATAGCAAACTCCATTGTCCAAGATGTAAGGTTTTGTCAGTATACTAGAAAAGGAAGGAAGGTGCTCTGAAAACTGAAGGCAGAAATGAAAACTGTTTATCGTACCTTCTACACTGCTGAAATCTCACTAGTGAGGATCTAATGTGGATGTAGTTGGTTGGGTTTAGCCTGTAGGTATAACTGTGGAATACAACTTGATCAGGAAGTAATGCTAATTTACTTCAGTGCAAAGCATGCTGCTGTTGGATGAAGTGCAGCAGTTAGAAAATGCCTATTAATAATATAATTCACATTCAGTGTTGACTTCTTTGTCAGGCTTGGTCACCCCCTCCCATCTTTGAGAGGGGCTATAGTATTTTTGTATGTGGACAGCTGAAGTTGTGCTGTCTTGCCACAGCTAGCTTCAAACCCTGGTGGTGTAGGATATTGATACTGTAGGTGAAAAGGAGGACAGATATATTTAATAATTAAATGTAGTGATGTTTTATTATCTGTGTGACACAAAGCATGCCTGTACTTGTCAAGTGTGAAATTATGTTCCATTCAGTGCGCTGCCATGATTTACGAAATTAAGTCACCATTAATTTTAGCTTTCTTTGATGAAGAGGATGATTGTTTATGGTATGCTAATACATGCAATTAATTTAGTTTTATTTCAGGGGTTGCACCCATTGTCTGTAAATTTGTTTAAATAGTTCTTATAGGAATTAATGCTCCAAAATAATACGTTGCTCTTGAATAGGAGGGTTTTGAGTACAGTGAGCTTAGGTTTGACAGATTTTTTTCTTTACACAGATTTTCCAGCAGTGAACTGGGTGATTCAGTTTGATTGTCCAGAAGATGCAAACACGTACATCCACAGAGTGGGAAGAACAGCCAGGTTTGTTTTTACTTTTACATTAATATTTCATTAATAGTTTAAAATGACTAAAGACTCCCTTGAAAAAATCAAGATACAAATTGGAAAGAAAGAAGGGCTGGTATCAGCAAAAGACCCTTTTGATTACTTAAGAGTAATGGTTTGACTTAATAATTTCTTAGTGAGCTTCAGAGACTCCTTACAGCAGATGGAAAAAATATGCCCAGTTGTTTAATCTGATCAGGGAAGTTTAATAGTGAGGAAGCAAAAATCTTTTGCACTTGGCGGAATTCCTCAAAGGCTGAGTTGAGGATGTTTGTGGGTGGGAAAGCTTGTTTTGCCACCACTGTTTATAGGTAAATAAGGCTTTAGACTGTGGATTCAATTTCTTTGTGTCACTGAAGACTCTTCAAAAGAATGGAAATATTTCTTCCTTATTTTAATCTTGGGAGGAAGGAATCACATAATGTAAATTACAGATTCAAATTTTTATTTTTCTAAGTCTTTTGTACAATTATATTCTTAAGGATAGCTTTAGTTAAAATATTTGTGGTTAAGCCTTTATGACAGAAAGGAGTTACCCAGATACACTGTTGAAAACCTGGTCCTTGATCTATGAAGTAGATTTTTAAGAGAAATGGGAGTTGTTATTGCATATAATTCAGTAGATTGAAAACTTTATGCAATTATCTGAAGAATGAAATGCAAGATCTGGCATTATATCTTGTATATAATTTAATCTGTTTTTAGTAGTGTTTGCATTATAGTTGGTTGTCAACCTAATGACAGAACAGTTTCTTAGAACAGGACTTCAGCACTCTTCACTATAGGAGTTTGAAATCTGTCTTTCTGGATCAGATGGCATTAAATTTTGGTGACTCTGTAATAGGAGTGTGTATTTCCACTTTCGGAATGTGGAAGTTCTAGCTGCGTTTTCATTGTAGTTGGTAACATTTCTGCCCCTTTCTTTCCCGTGTCCTACATTTTCCTATCTATCTGTTATAATAGAAGGGAATAATACATTTTTAAATGCTTTTGGAAGAAAACCGTCTAGGAACAAAATCAGAAAGTGTTATATATAAATAGACAAAAAGTAGGTGTTTGCCTAAATTCAAAAAAATGAAGATGTAATTTCATGCATCTCAATTAAGAGAAGAACATATAGGCTTAGTTACAGTTCAGTTTTTTTTTTTTCCTTCTTTAAATCCTATGTGAGTTCCACAGAAGGCTTGTGATTTTGTCTTTATGGCATACTGTCATCATGGAAGGGAAAACAATATATTTGTCACTGTTTAATTGTCAGCTTCTGGAAGGCTTGTTGAGCTCTTCCTGAGCCAAGTCACCAAGTTAAAGCACCTCCCTGGAGTTAAAATCCTCAGGCCTTGTCCCAGTTCTCATTTGGTGCTGAAAAGAGTGATTGTAAGTAGGTTTAGAGAGGGGAAGCAGCTGCATAAAGACAAAGAACCCTCCTTTTCCACAGTGCTTTTAGTAAAATGTCACTCTGTGAGGATCATGGAATCATAGAATCATAGAGTGCTTTGGGTTGGAAGGGACCTTTAGAGATCATTGAGTTCCAACCCCCCTGCCATGGGCAGGGACACCTCCCACTAGACCAGGTTGCTCAAAGCCTCACCCAGCCTTGCCTTGAATGTTACCCTTGCAACCTGGGTCTGTCTTCAGCAGCCTCTTCAATACAGCCTGCTGTGGTTGCTTGAGGGACAGATTTAGAGAAAAAAATTGGGCATCCTGTAGGCCATGGGCTGTTCTGGATGCTTGCTCCTTGCTTCACTGGGCTATTGTTTACATTTCCTTTTATGTGAATTTTCCAGTGGCCAGACCTTACTGAAATTCAGAGTACATCTGAGCAAGTTTTTTGAGCTGGCGGGATGGTGACTGATATTGGAAGCAAATTCCTTCTGTAGGAAAAGCTTTAAGGGTATTTTGTCTCTTAATCTGATACAAAGTTCTACCTATACTGGGCTTTCATTTTGGAGAAACATACAGGCTCTCTCTGTCCCTAAAGCAGTCCTTGAAAGAGATTTGTTCAGTGAGCTTAACAACATTAAATAAATATTTGAAAATAAAACAACGGAGATGTCTAATAGTTTCAAGTAAATACTGTGCACTAAGTAAATATGCTAATGCAGTTTTGGATTTGGATAGTTGAGAATGTACTTCTCAGTGAACTCTTAAGTGTTGAGTAGGAAAATTCACTTGTCTTCAGTAGCTACAGTTAGTATGAGAAGCTAGTGTTTCTTCTAGAAACTTATTAAAAACAAACTGAACTGCAGTTTAGTAGTCCTTGTTAATGAGGTTAGAGATAATTATGAATTTTCATGGGTTATGAGAGTATAATTGCATGGAATGAAAGCTAAATTAAATATCTCAGCTAACTAAGAGACTGTTAAACTGTAATTAAAACTGGGATGTCAAATACCATCTACTTTTGAAATAAAATTATTTTATGGTATAAAAGTAAATATGAACATCAAGAAAAATTGTTTTGGAGATGGGGCTGAAAAACCTTTGACTAACAGTTCTGGATGTGTTCCCACATCTGTTTTACAGTTTTGCAAAACTTTATCTAAGATGAAAGATAGTGATTGATTTTTTTTAAGTGGCTAAGACCACATGTTCCCTAAGTAGCATTTCACTTATATTTCATCCTGCTGACGAACATAAATTGCAACTCCTTCCTTTTTGATTTATGGTAAAGTAAGGTCAAGAAAATCTGGGCGTTGTCCAGTAATGCTTTTACTTTGTAGTATTTTTTTTTTTTTAATTAGTACTTGAAAGGCATACTGCAGTTGGAGTGATTGGAAGCTGTTTCTTCCAACTGCATTTTGAAGTATTTATTTAAAGTCTTACCTAGTTCAGTAACAGAGCTTCTAAAATAATTACAATATCACGGCCATGCCCATAAATGTTTTTGGCTATATTTTTGTCACACAATCTCTTGATAAAGTCTGTAATTAAAATACTAGATCCCAGTGTTTTCCTGTTGCTTTTAGTTTCGAAAGTTCTAAATGAAGAAGAGCTACCTGTAGCAATTGTCTGCAAAACTAATTTCTTGTGGCTTTTAATTTCTATTCATGCCTTCTGTCCTGTAGCCTATGGAGCCTACAGTTGAAAATATTCTTTGATCAATTTTGTGAAACAAGTTACAGTGCCACTAGGGGACAGCAGAAGATAATAATTTCTTAAGCACACTGATACTCACTTTTTTTCCCAGCTGTTTTTCCAAACATAATTTGTAGGTTCTATGGCATGAAAGAAACATATATAGGGATGTTTTTCTTTCAATCGTGATTACATTGATGAGTAGAAAAGGGACTGAAAAGTCTATTTTATTTTTCTGTTCATGCATAAATATCTTGTATTTTGGATGTGCCTATATCCTGGCATGCCTCAGTAATTAATTTCTTTATTTTCTAGCATTACATTCCTCCCTCTGCTCCTTTTTTTTTTTTTTTTTTTCTTCAGAGGAGACTATTAAAAACTGTTGCTTGAGTTTAGTGTTTTTTCTATCAGAAGTCTTTTTTTTTTTCTTTTTAGGGACACTGACAATGGAACGTTAAACATAATAAATCTTTTTGCTCTGCACTTTTTATCAGTTGTATGTGCAGAAATTTATACAGGCTTTAGGTCTAACTCAGGCTCAGACTTGTGATGGTATTTAGTCCAGGCTCATTGGTTATACTTCTCAGGTGCTTAAACTGACTTTGGAAAGTCACTGTAATCTTGTTGTTGTCATTAAAAGTAGTGTGCACGCAGGCCTGCGTGTCCTGTCTTGCTCTATGTATGCTTTTTTTCCTTTTAGTAAATTACATTCTGAAAACAAATGGAGTAATAAAAGCCTGTCTTCCCAAAGCAGGATACTCTATTGCCTTCCATCTTTGTACTGGCTGGTATGATCATTAGAGTCAAGAAGTATGAATAAAGACTTAAAGATCTGTAGGTTTTTTGGTGCCTTTTGAATACTGAAGAATACGCACACAGTGAATTTTGGAAAGGTGAAAGGGGCAGGTCATACAATGATCTTATTCTGTTATGAAGTAAAATGCTTTGAAGCGTGCTCATTAGGGCTCTGCTTAAGCAATTGCACATCATGTGTGTGAAAGTGAAAGTAATAAACGTTTAGAGTAATCCTTGCAAGTGGTAATAAAGCATTTAAAAGTATGAGTGACTTAATGGAACTTTTTTCCAATGGCAGGAGCTTGATGATTTTTTTCTTTTTTTCTTTTTTCATTGGGAAATATGTCCCAGGGATACATGTCTTGGGTCCTGAATAAACAGTACTGTGAAGATGGCAGCTCCTCGTTTGATTATTTTTTTATGTTTAAGACTCACTGAAGCACTTCTACAGATTTTTTTTTTTTAAATAAATGCAGTATTCAGACCATCTCATATTATATTGCAGTCAAGTCGTCATCCTAACTCCTATTAAGTAAAAATAGCTGCTAGTGGAGGTCACAGGAAATTGTTGACACCACATATTTAACTTGCATTTCACATTATTAAATTCTCTAAAATTAAACCCTGTACCCTAGCTACATTCCTGACAGTGGCCTGCGATGCTGCAGTCATACTGACTGGCACTGTGTTATCCGTTAGAATTCTCTTCATAATGGCATGGTATGAATGTTCTAAAACACTGAAATATTAAGTGGCTAAGGTTATTACTTGCTGATATGAAGCTATCCTGTAAGCTGTAATAAAAAAATAAATAAGCACAGGTATTTTAATGCAGTAGAGTGGACACAGCTGCTGTGGAAAATGGATAGCTTACAGTCTGTCCTGGAGGACCCAACAACTTCCCAAGGCCTTTTGAATTCAATTTGTTCTGAGACTAGCACGATAAGGTTGTTGAGCCACTGCCTATTCTTGTCCATTATTTCTTGTGACTAAGTCTGTCTGGCAAACAAGGACACCTAGCTAGTATGACTGAGCGAAGGAGATTATGGTTTTGCGGTATGAATAAAACCCAGTTGCATGGTTCTCAGAACTTGGCAATAGATGTA